TGATTGGTAATACTGGTGGTTGCAGAAAAACGTTCCTTTCTATATATCACCGACGACGGTCTTACGTTTTATTGGATGAGGATAACAAGATCTGTCTGGGAAGGAGTTTTAAATTGGTAAGGGTTTAGAATAAAACTCGTTCTTACTTGGTTACTGTCTTATATTACTGATCGACTCATTGCAATTGATTTTAGTCAAGGGTAGGAAAACAAATCGAAAAAGTTTTATTTTCTTCAGTAAAATCGGAATTTTGATAGAGAATAAATTAAGACGTAAAATTGGAAGCGTTTAATATTGTAATTATATGAAAAATTTGCATCAGCAAGTTGGCGAGACTGTTTGTACATTACTCTTATGCTGTTTACACCAATACATTAAAACATGATTCTCTCATACAAGCAATTATTTAAAATTAATGTTAGATACAATTATTGTTTGTAATCTGTGTGTAATTAGACAGATTACAAACAATAATGATATTTTTGCCAATAATTCGGCTGTCAAACTTGCATTGGACCTTGTTCAGTTCAGAATTCCCATGCCTTAAACAAACTCTTTTGTTGCAGCTAATAGTCATTATGCAATTTGAACATCTTCTTCCAACCGGAGTGATTTGATTAGACACAAAGGTGTCAGTCAGGCGTATCAGTTTGTGATCTGACGTAACTAGCTCTGTTTCTGTAGACCACTATCCGAGAAGGATTTGAGGTTTTCAAGCCGAACACGAAGATCCCTGTCTTCTGGGTTGTAGCGGCGTTTAGTCTGGTAGAAGTTTACCGACGTTTCAGAGGTCCTTGCTACTTCCATCATCAGGGCGATGAAAGAGACCTCTGAAACGGTGGTAAACGTCTACCAGACTACACAGCGGTTCAAACCAGAAGACAGCCGTCTTATTGCTATCCGAGCATTTGCTTCGACAGAAGGCACTTTGTAAAATACCTGTCAATAAAAATTACCTTTCTGGCAAAAGTCAGTCATAAACAGGTGTAATAAAATCGAATATATTTTCACATTGTGATGGATGACTTTGCAATCTGCGTGTCTTATATGAAGGTAGTCTTCAATCATAACGATGTTAATTCGCATGTATTATTCACATGTTTCGACGGCCGGGGGTCATGTTCAGGGTATCGTTGGTGAATAGAGCTTACGCGCCTGATGTTTAACGATGTTATTCTGACGTAGAACATGCTGCATTTGTGGAATAATATCTTGAAGAACATGAAACTTTTTCAGACTCTGAGTCTTCTTCTTCTTCTTCTTCTTCCTCTTCTTCCAGACTTATTTCATTCTGAATCAACTGTTTTCTTAATTTACTCAACTTTATTATTTCTTAATATTGCTTCCAAAATCTGTCTATAGTTGCGTCTTATCCCGTATTGAAAATGTGTTTTATTATGTCTTTAATCTCGCTTCGTACAAAGTCTTATTTGCAGAATTGTCATTTATTTCATTCCGACTGTTGGAGCCTCCGTCGTTTGTACGACTGAGTAGTAGTCTTCCTTGATCTAATAGCCTCATCTGGACAGGGACTATTTTTAGCGACATTCTTCTCTTCTGACGTTCCAGCAAGTTTAATCTCCGAGCTGAGCGGTCTGATTCATCAGAATAAGGGAGTGTTCTCCCGCCGCTCTGAGGAGGGCGACTGCATCTTATTTTACACTGAAGTGAAGTCACGAGTCATCTTCGAAAAACATTTGAACGTAAAGGGAATGAGGTGAAAGGGGAGAGGGCTGTGGAGTTGGAACTAGAATCTCCGACTCCGGGTTGGGCGCCGACTCCGGGTTCGACTCCGACTCCGATACCAACTCTTTCATAAAAGCTCAATATGTATTAATAAGGGTAAACCTACTAAAATGGTAAGTGTCACCATAAGAGATTTCATCACCACCACGTGAATCATCAGACTACATTTTAGACTTATAACCTGTATTTAAATATTATTGCAGAAATCGGTTGATTTGTAGACAGTCTGTATTCTTAAGGTACCGGAGCCAAAGTTACAAAGCATTATTCCCACATCTCCCTCAGCGTGAGGCCGCCGGCGGCTCACACGTTACAGAAATTGTTCTTAAGATTTCATATCGAGGTAGGAGTCGGTACATTTTTACCGACTCCGAATCCACCTAAAATTGCTTCCGACTCCGACTACACAGCCCTGCAGGCGAGTGTAGGAAATTTAAAATCAGATTCTCCACAATTCATGCTGTTGAAAGCGCATGGGGTAGATAAGAAATGCATAGAAAAGTTTGGTTGGGAAATATGAAGAAATAAAACAGTAAGATGACCACTGCGTAGATTGGGGATATCATTAAAAGTGTGTTACGCAAATATTGTTGAAGAGTGTGAATTGGATTTAACTGGCTCTGGATAGGGATTGGTAGCTGGCTGTTGTGTAGTTCTCAATAACGAAAGATAATTTACTCCCGAATAGAGGTCCATGTAGTTACCGCTGCGTCAAAATCTTCACTCTGGTATTTCATAGACCGATAATTTACAGATAATAGGAAATGTATTAAAATATATTTTTTTGTTTAATATTGCGGAGCTACGAATTTGTGCTTAATTTGCCCAAGACCTAGAGTTAGAATTTTAGTGACAGTCTTCGATTCGTCATCTGAAGCTAAGTTAATGTGGGACTTATATCTAATGAAATTTCACATGATAATATTTGTGTGCTAGTGGTGCCGAATAATGTCATTCGTCAAAATCTGTCACGTGAATCAAAATATATACATAGGAGCTCATTTAAACCATTAATTGAAGTTTTCCTTGAAACGACCTAATTTAAATAAATATTAAAATTCCTCGAAGAAATACAAGGTTTTCCCTCCGCAGTATTAGAGAGTTTGATCTGTCGAAACGCATATAAGGGCTGGTGTAACAGAAAGCACCTTTAATGCCCCCGATCATGCGGTGATGGAAGACTTTTCGCGAGCCTCTAACACCATCTGCGTGCCTTTGTTCGGATTGTACAGAGAAGCCGATGACAACCGAAATTGATTCCCGGGGGAATTCGCCCTTCTGAGGCGTGTCTCTGTGTACAGTTTCGTGCGTGGAAAGTAAACGATTTGACTTTCGCAGTACATTTGAATCCTTTAAGGACAAATGGAAGGTACATGTACCTCCAAATTTAACAACCAAGAAGTCTGTTTTGTTTTTATGGGTTTTGTGTGGGTCTCACTGCATGCAAACAGGGATTATTTTTTTGAAACAGTGTTTATCAGTTGATATTTTAAGTGGATACGCTTTTTTCCCTTCGCGGTTTGCAATGAATTCGCAAATAATATTAGGCGACCTTTTGCTTCGAAGGTTCTGGCGTGCTCATTAATTTTCCTTGACATTCCTTCAGCAACGTAAGAGTTGGGTTCGCCGTGTATGTTCGGCAACTTCTCCGACTCAGTAATGATGCGTGTAGTTGTATGCAGGCGAACAATTGCTGTTGAAAGCTAAACAAAACATCAAGAGACGAGCGTTTTAAAAATAAAGTGGTGAGGAGCAAAGTGGGACCTTAAAGAGAAAGAGAGAAAGTGATGGAGAAAGCAGGTAGTAGTAGGAGGAGGAGAATGGCGATATTTACTTAATGAGGAACTTCGCCTGCTGTTATAAGTAGTAGAAAGACGCTTCACAAAAATGATGGTAAAACCGAGAGTCTTTCTTAATAACACATTTTATTAGATAATGTAGGAAAGCAGCATATGAAAATTAAATACGGTACTTATAATTTGCTTAATTACAAACTCCGTGAGGCGTTAACATGTAAATACGTGCTTTTCCGCGTGTGTAAATAATATTTACATATAAGGCCATGGATAAGTGAAAACTCTTTCAAAGCATTGTTTCCATAAAGAAGGGTTTTAGAGTGGTGAATGAATTTTTAATTTGGCGAGAAGTACTAAATATGCATCATCATCAACATCATGCTGATTTTGAGTCCCCCGTCCGTTCTACTGACCTTGCCGGCGTGTCTTAAGAGCCCTTTGTGGTGAGAAAATCACAGCTGCAGCTGCCTGGATCAATACGAAGTGCACAAAAGTGGGGAATCCCATTAGGAACTAGTCGACAATTGGTCTCGTGAGGAAATACGATGTGAAAGTCAAGGCGTTCTTTGTCAAACGTTCCTCCCACGCTCACACAATTCCCTAAAGGAGCGACGCAAAAATGAATCCCTCACTGCCGTATTTTCCGCCAGGCCTCGCTGCAGTTTGGCTCATTCATCTTGA